GAGAGCTCCAATTTTCAAACACTTGAGAACAGGAACACGGAAGATAAAAAGAAAGATAATCACAGGTAAGGTTGCCACCATCCCTGAATTTGAATTTTGACCATTTCCTAATTGGTAGAAAAAACGAATCACTTGGAAGACCAGAGCGGTCTGGCTGTAATTAGGTGATGAGCACAACCCTGCATCCGCAAGATGCCAAACTGCAGATGATGAGCACCGTGAGGGACACGCAGGAGCGAGTCCTAAAATTATCACGGGCCTTCGACTTGAGCTCCTAGTTACATCTCCATCCCCAAAACAGGATTCTAGGAAGTCTTCAAGGCAGCCACCACTGAAGGGTATTAATGGTGCTCACTTGGGCCTTAAGAAAAAGAAGAAAATTTAGGCCAACACGCCAGAGCACTTTGCTTCACTGCAGAGATGCAGTTGTGCTGTACATCCTGCTCAGAGCAGGAGCACATTGAGAAGAATACATATGTTAAATTAAAAAAAAAGAAAAGCTTTTTCTTTTTTTTTTTTTTTTTTATTATTATTAAAGCTTTTGCCACAAAACACTATTTTTGTGCCCCACTGCCCAACAGCAGGCTTTGCTCAACATCTGGAGAGTCTAACATTTCTATACAGCCAGAGCAGACCTCAGCTTTCAGAATTCTGCATTCTTAAAATAGCAAAATGCCGCAACGGCAGCACTTATCACGGAAAAATGTTATTCTCTTTGATAAAGCCCTTAACATATGGCACTAGGTTATCATTACATTATCAAATTACCACATATTAAGATCTAATTGAAGAACTTATTACAGTGCTCCCTTCCTTCTACAATGATGATTTATGGCACATTTTGTCACTACAATGTTAAGCAGTTCAGAACAAACACAGCTCTTCACTAAAAGATGGCAGAGGCAGATATTCAAGCATAAGCTATAAATACTCCGATGAGTCAGAGGTCACAAGTCTGCTGTAAATCACACCTGATTTGTAGGCTGAAACACATTTGCTAATCTTGGATAAAAACCTCTGCTGAACCCTGCAATCAAGAAAACAAACTGAAAATTGAGAGACCCTCAAGTCTGGGGGTGGTTTTGGTTTTTTCTCTGCACACTAACCATGTTACACACAGTCATAATTTCATGAAAGAATAATGAGGAGTGACTCTAAATAGGGTCTGCCCTTTCTTGCTCCTTGATGGAACTACAGTCAAAGAACAAGTCAGAAAGACTGGGATCATCAATGGATCGTCAATTGGATCTCAAGACTGGGATCATCAATTATCACGAGCAGAAGGGAAGAGTAGCCTGGAGTTATTCTGCATCCAAGACCACATAAGCAGGAACTTTACAACAACACATTTGAGCAGGGTAAGGAAAGAATCCTTTAAAACTAGACAACAATCTGTACAGTTGATTTGGTAATGAAAATGCCTGGCTCTGAAAGGTGTATTGTGTCTTTTGTCATCGGACTAGAAATGCCAAAGCACGAGCCTGCATCTCAGAGCTTTCTAGCCATCCTTTTTCAACATCCACTTATCATACAGTTGACCATGTTCCTCCAGATAAAATATAAATGATAGCTTGCAGTATAAAGAAAAAAGGCAACGCTATTTTTAAAGTATCTGAAAAAGCAATCAACATTTATGATACCACAAATGTCAGAACGGTCGCAGCTCTGCCAGCGCCTGCAACCTCATTTCATGCCATGTGCAGAGCACTGAAATTCCCTCCCACATGCCTTTTCTTGGCCACTTGCCACAGACCCAGGCAGGAAAGACCTACAGACCATCACGATGTTCAAATGAACAGAGCCTGCTCATCTCTGCTTTAGATTAAAGGAGAAAAAAATATTCCAGACTAACATCTCTAACCAAGTATTTACCAAAATATTCTCTACATTCAGCTAGAATCCTTTTGTTTGCAAATCTCACACTTACCTTCATTGTAGATAATGCTGGAAAAAGGGATAGATACTTTGTCTCTCCCTGGCTCTGGTGGCTGTTAGCGCGACAAAACATTATTAGAGCACTTCAGTATTTCACACCAGCAGAGCAGCTTTAACTTCTCCACACCAAGAGCACAGACACCAGCTGGGGTTGGGAGCAAAGGAGCCAGAGACTCGACCACTTTGGTGCTACTAAACCCCGAACAAGGCAACTGCAGGAGAGGCAGGGAGCAGGAAGCACTGACCTCTGCATTCAGCACAAGCTATTTCTGCTCTTAGAAGTCTCCTACAGTTAGGAAATCGCAGCCGGTCACCACACCAGTGGCTGCTCGCTGTGGAGAGCAAAACGCTCCTTGGTTGCTACACCGCCTCGTTTCCCTCACAAAAGCCTTTTTATAAAACAGAATTATTCATTGAGTACGTCTAAAATGGCAAGAGTTTACACAACTAAAATCAACACTAAACAGGCTGTGTTCTGTGGTTCTGCTCTTGAAAAAATTACCATAAATAACAATAATATGAAAGTATAAGGCAGGGTGCAATAAAAATAATACATTCACTCCCCGTCTCATCCAATTCTGCAGCCCTCCTCTCCTGCTAAGCAGGAAGACTATTCTCATTTGTTTTCAAGTAATTGAGAAACATTTCAGCTACTTATCCGTTCTCCAAATCTCTTTTTTTTCCCCCTCCTTTCACACGCTGCTTAGAATTGCTGCCAACAATGTATTTATTAAAGGTGCTGCCTAAGAAAAATACCACTAGCAATCAATGCCTCAGGAAAAAAAAAAAAAAAATAAAGGAGAAGCTTCGGAAGCCGTAATGCAGGGAAGGCTGCAAGAGCTGAGTCCTTGTTTAAACAGAAAAAAAAATAAGAAAAATGGAGCTGTTTCAGGCGAGCACTTCCCACCCCGTCGGAGGTGGCCACGGACCCCTCGTCTATTGGTGGAAATATGTTGATTGTGGACGAGCCTGGGGCTCCGCGTCCCGACCGCGGGGTCCAGGCTGCAGCCGAGGGCTCCGGGCGATGTTTAAGCGACAAGGCCCCGTGTACGGCCACCCACAGGAAACCTCTTTGCTCCTCGGCAGCTTCTCCTTCCGGAGGCGTCTCCGGCGCGGGGCCCCAGCCGCCTGTACCGGCTCACGGGGAAACTGCAGCCGCGCGTCCAAGGAACATCTCAACAGCGGGGAAAACAAAGCCCTGGAAAGCATGTTGCTTTCCACGCCGGTTTTTAAGGCAACCCAAGGGGACTGACTAACCTTTGGCATTGCTTCATGAGGTCCAGTTTGCCCTGTTCTAGGGCTGCTTCTATATTTGCACCTTCCAACTGCGGCTGATGTCAAATAAAACCAGCACAGCTACACGGCCTCAGCTCAGCCAGGAAGCAGCGAGCTCCACACCCTGTCACTAGCTGTAAAATCTTTGTTCTTCTCCAAATACGACCCGAATGGTGGAAGCCACTAACAGAAGGGAACAGCACACATACGGAATTAAGCAATTTATGTCCGGGTTACCTCATTTTGAGGCAGGACGCAGCTTCCCCTGCACGTACAGGCCATTTCCAGCTTACGGCAAGGGTCACAGGTAAAAAGTCAGGTCTATAATGCAGGCGACTGTGTTAAATCATGTTCATAAACACCTTACCTCCCAAAATCTGCACAGAGAAGCATTTTGCAAAAGGCTCAGCTCCCATGTGGTTTTAACCTCTGCCTTAACACATCCTGTGCACAAGCATGCAGTATCTCTCGCAGGCAATTCGTCCAGCTTTATTGTGTAATCCTATCTTTACAACAAACTTTTTAACTCTTTTCTCACAAATATTGAATAAATAAACAAACCATGACAATCCCTGTGCTGCTTTTTAAGTAAACTTGTCATTATTCTCAAGCTACTTATGAAACTTGCATTAAATATGACTGAATTTTAAAGCAATTAAAGAATAGCTATCACAGCAAAGGCCGAAACAATAATATCCCACACAGGAATGCAAACGACGCCGTGTTTTAATATTCACAGAAATCAACAGCCACTGTATTATCATTTGAAAATAAACTTAATTAGTTACTTTGATGACAAAAACATCTGCCACTGAATTATTATATTAAAAGTCATTAGAATATGTTATAAAACATCAAAAATGTTTGACAGAGAAATGAGCTAATACAGAAATAAAGGGTAATATTGTGGAAATATTCCATCTGGATAGAAATCAGTCCTATATCACACTTAAGAGTTTTTTTATATGTACTCAAGATTAAGGAATTAACTCCTTTTGCTACCCCCTTAAAAGCAATGTCTGCTGATATAAAACTATGTAATATGTTACAAGACAAACGCCACGGAAGTCAGATAAAATAATTCCATGTCACAACACCCATATGGGAAATAATACATGAAAATGGACACAGCTTCAATAAACTAACTGTAGTAGCTTCTGCAGCAAGATTATTTTTCCGAATGCCATATTAATGAAGTGACACAATTTCTGCTGTATAAATACATAAAAAACATTTGAACCGTAAGTTGTTTTGTCAACTCCGTATGTTAGCCTTGGCTCTTCTCTAACTCCCAGTCCTGGGAATCTGGGAAGCTCTTCTCGTCTGTCACCTAATTACTCAGCAATTAACTAATTCAGACCTGTTCTACCACCCTCAGCCCTGCGCAGCAGCAGGTAAATCAAAGGACAGGCTGGATAAGACCAAAAGCTGCAGGAGAGAGGCAATACCTGTACCCACATCCTCAACTTTCTCCAAGATTGTAGCTTCAGCAGCAATTCTCCTGGAGCATCTAATAGTTCCCTGCCCCAAAGAGAGGGCTGCCTTGCCCATCTCTGGGGCTCCCGCGGCCATTTTACAAGCCAATCAAGCAGAAAACTCACACAGAAATAAGAAAAGGTGCAAGCAGAATTGCTTTCTCATGGATTTGATGAATTGAAATTTACTCACTAAATCTGAGTTGAAATGAACAGGCAGGAACATGTATGCGTAAGGAGAAAGATTTCCCCTCTTAGGAGGCAATTAGCTTCATTTGATTTGCCTAAATAACGTCAACTCCTCTAACAAGGCTTCAGGAAAAACACTCCATCAACAAGACAGTCTCTCTCCATTACAGAAAGAACCTAAAGTGTAAGCAAGGATGTATTTTTAAGCAAACTTACAAAGAGATCAGATGGTTCACAAGAAATAAGCGGTAGCTTACCTTTGGTTTTTTGTTCAGCAGCCTGAAAAAATGAACAAACAAAAGAAATCAATTACTTAACAAAATTCAAAGGGATAGCTCTCATTCTGTGGTTACAGTTAGCTTTTTTTTTTTTTTTTGGCAAAAACTGCATATACATTATTTATATGCATCGTTTCTCTTAAGAATCTGAGAATACTGTTTTAACTCCATGTGTTACGAATGCAAGAGTGCTACATACGGTACATATAAATCATGAGAAGCAGTAACCCATACAAACCTTTTTCTGAGCACCTTCCTTCTTTTTCTTTTCTTCCTGCTTTTTCTTTTTCTTTTCTTCCATCAAATGTTCCTCTTCTTGTGTTTCTCGTTCTTTCTCCCTGATAAAAAATAAAGATTGGAAAGAGGGTTTTTTTCAGCAACATAAAGCTAATCCAGGAAGGCAAATAATCCACACAAACATCACTAGCTTTCTAATTCTTATGGGTAAAAAAAGGTGTTACCTAATGCTGTAATGAGAGCATTTAAAAATAACAAATATATAAGCTCTTCCAAAATTGAAACCAGTGACAAAAAACTAACAGGTAATGCAAATTTAGAAGCGATAAAATTTATTGAGAATCTCTTTCCCCAAACACTCAAAAGTGCTGTTTAAAATTGGTATATTTTATAAGCTATGTGTTCCAACAGCATCTTGGTTAAAATTTCCAGCAGCTAATTAAGAAATTACTCTAAAAATTATTTGGTTTTATTGGATGAATAGAATCAGTGCAAAATGAGACATCTCTTCAGTTTCCTCCAGCTAATGCTTTAAAAAGTCATGAAATTAAGGCATCCCAGAATGCAAGTTAAATCTCGTTTGCTAATTTGAAAGGGATTTACATGTAAAACTTGCTTAATTTGCCAATTTTTCTTTAAATCACGAAGAAAACTTCCAACTTGTAATGCCCAAGTTTTGATACCAGGGCCCTTCATCGCTGCCACTGCCTCATTCCTCTGCGAATTCCTCTGTTTCCAGCCTTTCTATCCTCTGAAGCCGCTTCACTTTCCAAGTTTTTACAAGCCCAGTGTACGTTATTTCATCCCTTCTGCAGGTAATACACCGTATCAAAGGATTGCCCAAATCAAAGAACAGCAAACATTTTGCTCCATTAAAAATACAATGTATTTTATTACCATATTATCATATCAATTACAACGTAAGAGGCAGAAGTGCCACTCCTAGTGGAAAACCTGTTTTTTTTTTATTTCATTTCTGAGTTTAAAATAGCCTCAAATTAACTCAGGAAATGATACTATAATTTTTAATGGAATTCAATTCTCAACACTGATTTACATAATGACACTTCTGAATACATGTGCTTTAAATATGCTTAAAATAGAAATAAAGCTCCAAGTGGCCCCTCAGATGGCAACTATTGCTGTCACTTATAGGCACAAATTAGTCATCTAGGAGCAAAACAAAGGAAAACAATAAAAATATTGTTGTATTAAGTTTAAATTATCATAAAGACATGTCTTGCAGTTTGCTTCTTGACTGACAGTTTAATCTTTATGGCAGAAAATACTCTAAAAAAAATCCAAATACAGAGCTCATGATTTAAAACAGGAATGTCTCAAATGCGCTTATATGGATTTGCCTTTTCCATATACCTCAGACTTGAAGTATTGGGCATTTTTACCAGTGGAGAACAAGGAGTTTTACTGTAGGATCAGATATTGCTTTTCAAGATTGCAATGAGTTTATTAAATTCAAGCCTAAAACATCATGATCTTCCAAGTAGGAGACTATGAATGGAAAAGCGAGATTAAATGTGTGTCAGGCTCAGGACAATCTGAGACCTCGGAGGGAAAGGGATGCCTGTTACACCAAGGCTTAATAACCCCCATAAAAGCGAACAAATCCAGGCGGATTTTATTTTCTAACCTAAGTAAAAATATCATTTTTTCCCCAGTTGATATCAGACATTCAATCCCTTTCACGTTTGCAGCCCCAGCTGGCATTTAGACTTGACGCTGACGTGGAATTCCATCCAGAATATCTCCATAAGCCTTTGGGGAATATCGGATTCTTAAACAAACTTCAAGTGGAGTCTATTTGTGGTAGTACAAGCAAAGTTATTACCCCGAGTGCCTTTCAGCTCACAGGATCCCGCAAGAGCTGAGCGCCAGAGCCAGGCACGGCTCCCTCTCGCCCCTCCACGTGGCCCGGGTCCAAACCTCGCAGCCTAATGAATTTCATTTGTGTATATTTAAGATGCCAAGGGCTTATTTACATATGGAAATTGTCTGGAATACCTCTTGAAGAACAGCAGGCTCAGGCTCAGTCTAGGGATGTCTTCTGTCCAGTTTAAGCCAGCGAGAAATTTATTCTGGAATAGCTTTTGTACCTTAAATTTTCACATCCTACGTTGCACGGGCAAATCCTCCCTAGTTAGTTGTAAAAGCTGGTGTTACTGACATAAAACCTACACATTACATATATTTGCTTAAGTATTACTCAGGTTCAGACTTCCCAGCCCCACGCATGCTGCACTTTGGAACATATGTGATTTTTGTTAAAAAAAAAGATGAACTAAAACGGTAAGAAAGTGTCAGTAAATGCCCAAAGGCAGGCGACCGAAGCACCCGGACCGGGCTTTCTGCAAGCGTGGAGCAGAGCCTGCTACTATATAGACAGCTCGTACTAAGAGAGAGTTTAGAGAGCCATGGGCAAAGAATAGACCTTTTACCAAATTGTCAAAAATCTGGCAGCATTTCTTAGGCAGAATGAGGAAAATGACTCTTCAGGAGATGCTTCATGACCTGGCTGCAAGTGGTAAGGAAGAGCTGGCTGGAAGCAGGAAGGTGGAAAGGAGCCTGGAGGGCAGCGACCATAAATCCCTGGTGTTTGCAGCCCTCTGGAAGGGAGAGGGGAAAAAGTGACCAACCGAGGAGCAGTGAATGCTGGAAAGGCGATTCCATTTACTCCAGACAACGGAAAATACAGTCGCACAGGAAACGGAAGAAAGGTGTTTTTTCTTGGAAATCACCAGGACACCAAGTGTGAATGGAGATCCCCAACCACAGCAGGGGTAACAGTAACAGCAAAGCAAGAGCAGCCCGTGATTTCACGACTGCTGGAACGGATAAAGCAAAATCCTGCACCCGGCTGTTAATTGCTAATCTTGTCCTCTGGTTGATCTGCTGAGATGCTCCTAAAATAAAGAGTGCTGGAAGGCAGAGTTTGAGCAACATCGGAAAGCGTCAGCTTTCCAGCTCTTTTTTGTCCCCCTTCAATATCCAGCCTTCATCATTAATCGAGCCAACTCAGACTGGTCCTTAATGACAATCTCTCCAATCACCTCCAATAAGAAACAGATAAAATTAGGTTGAATAATATAATATAGGATCGCTATAAGAGAGCGGCACAAACACCACCTAAGGTCCCCCAAACACCAGTTCACGAAGAGCATTGAAAGAGTGAGAATAAAACATGGGACTAAAATGTGAGACTAAAACGTTGTACATATAACAAAAAGGGATGGGTAAGGGAATGAGGATTCGTCAACAAAAGCTACATCAAACTAGCCTATTTTTTTTTCCTATGGAACCTTTAAAGGCATTTTTATAAAGGAAGAGAGAGGAGGTAATGAAAGTTATTTATTGACTTTCCAGGCAATGTGTGAGGCTTTCTCAATAAGAACACGGCTCTGTTTTCTAAGAACAGGGTATGCAACACAGCCTGAAAGAAATATGCCAACCGAGCATATTCAGCACTTCTCTTTCCAACAGTACGGGCAGAAGCAGGGGATGTTGCTGCAGGATGCCACATGGGCAGCAGCACTCGGGGTTTTTATTAATAACTTCACTGCTGGAAAAAAAGTGTGCACTGAAGTTTCCAAAAAACATCATCAGGTGGTCAAGCATTGCTCTGATTTCCGTTCACCACTAAAGCTGCTAAGCTCAAAAGGCAGTATGAAAAAGTAGCATAATACAGTAAGAAAGGATGCAGGGTACCACATTTTGGCAGGGATAATCGTCTGCATCCATGCGCTGCAGCAGATTGACTAAAAAGACTCCAGAACATGGCAACAAGCAGGACCAGTGCTCAAACAAGCAGAAGCTGTTGGATAAAAACCCCACAAAACTCCTGAGGTTTGGGTGCACTTAATGAGGAGAATGGGAGAGAAGAGGATATTTGAAGAAAGGAAGGAGTTTTATTGCAAAATAGCCCTCACAAGAGTTCAAATTGATTCCGGGACACAAGGATAACTGGAATGGAAATCAGAGGTCTCTACCCATTTGGGAAGTAAAACCCTACAACCACCTCTCAAAGGAACGAATGAGGGGAAAAAAACTATTTTGTTGTGGACAAGACACATTTATGGAAGGACTATATGAATAGCAGGGATCACAAGGCTTGAAAAATAAACCTATAATCTGAATTTTGGGTGCAAGATTTGTCCCTCCAGGAAATCATGAATGAAGCTCGACGCAGCTCTTAGCTAGTTTTGTTCAACTACATTTTATAATGGATAATCCCCCACTTTGGGGTTTCTAACTATCAAATTATGACCCTTCCCTGCATGTCTCGCCACTGACGCATAATTTGCCCTGACAGGGGACTTGTCCCTTTCTCTGAAGCCTCAGAAGATCATCCACCACTAACCACTAAGGGTCTGAAACTTCAACATAGAATTCCTTCACAGAAACAGAATAGAGCTCCTCGTGCTACTCTACTGCAAATATACACAGTAAATACACATATGTGTGTGTATCTATAGAAATAGATGCACATAAACATATATCTTTTTTTTTTTTCCACAGGGTACTGAGGTGTTCAGGTCTGTGATGCTCTCCAGACCCTTCTCCACAGGCGCTTGTAACTGTGAGGAGTTAGACCTAACTACACACTCCTTTCCAGGTCTTCTTTAAGTCGCAGCACAGACAACTTAATTCACTCCTGAAACTGCACGGGAGCAAAGCGTGTTTGCAGCTTGAAGACACATTAGAAACGCTACAGCCTTAGTTGAGAGCAGGACGTGAAAAAGAAAAGATTCAATTACAATTCTTATTGAAACTACAGGGAGACTTCAGGTTGCCCAAGAGACTAAATTAATAACCCTAACTCTTTCAATCTGTAAAATAGAAATTTCATGATGAGAAAGAAGAAAACCTGTTTTACACACCCAATCTAAAGGCCGTATCTTCCATGGCACCTGGGACCTCTAACAGAGACACTTTGGATTATTAGCTAAATAGCAATTAAATAGTGACAGTAGAGAGAGGAAAATGCCAAATACTATTTACTTCAAGACCTAG